ATACTTTGTTACTGTACTTAAGAAGATTTTTCTGGTATCGGTACTTTACTCCACTCCTTATTTTTCTGACGACTTTTTTAATTTTTACTTCTTACATTTTTACACAAATATCTGTACTTTCTACTCCTTACATTTTTTAAACATTTTTAAACTCGTTTTCATGTGTTTAGTGGCATGATCTATATTATTGTCATTGCGCAATATGAACACAGTTTTGATGCTGTCAGTTTATTTTTTCTCATTGCGCGCCTGCGTGCTGCACTGCGTGGTCTTTTCAAGGCTATCGCGCACCGTACGTGGGCTAGTTAATGAAGATTACTATGAGAAAAGCTAGGATGACTACGCAGACGTGACAGAGGAAGATGGCAAATCTAACATGACTGATGCTGCCTTGTTTACGCGGTAATAAGATACCTTTTGCTTGTTAGGATCACTGGTAGACGAGAGACACATTCCAGTTCAAAAACAAGCCATTTTTTCGCATGTCTTTGGGACTGTGGTTGAAACGAGTACTTTTTACTCTTTCACTTTTGTACATTTTTGAGGCTGTACTTCTTTACTTTTACTTACAAAAAGTGTACTACTAAAGTTTTACTATACAAAAGTGTAGTCAGTACTTCAACTTTTACCAGAGTCATTTTAAACATGAGTATCTGTACTTCTACTTAAGTAAAGGAAGTGTGTATTTTTGCCATCTCTGATTTTAGTTCCTGAAAATAGCAATGCATCAACAATGCGCCTTAACACGCCTTCTTTTTAGATCGGAACACCCATGTGGCTAAAAAATTAGGGTTGCGCCGGTCTGAAAATAGCAACAAATCGCACCATACATGTCTTGTGCCTTATTCCGTCTTGTGTATGATATGCCGTATAACTTAATTCCAACACAAATCAATTGTGTGAAACCCAGCATTTTTACAGTGTAGATTTATGGCAAATCGTGACTTTTGAGCCAGTTTGAGACAGTTTTGACAAAATTAATGGTATAGTTTGCCCAAAATTTTATTCTGAAATCATTTACTCAGCCTCCATATATTCCAATCTACTTTGGGGTTCTTTTCTCTATTAAACACAACAGAAGATTTTTTTTTTTTTTTTAATGTTAAAAATTAGTAGCAATTGTCTTTTTATAGAATGGTTTTCTACTGTTGATATTAATGGCTAATGTTATTGGTGAGTGATTTTTTATTTTCGGTTGAACTATGACTTTAATTTTACCTTTTTTCTCTCTCAGAAGTATGATTTTTTTTGGAAGGGGGTGGTAACTTCAAGCATATGTAAGTTAACATCTCATAATTATATATTTTTAAAAGTGTTTGTTGCACTTAATTAGAGCTGAGTAAAAGTGCACTTAATAAGAGCTGTAAAGCTTAAGTTTTCGATTTTAGGTGAAAAATCGGGTCACACTTTACAATAAGGTTCATTAGTTAATGTTAATTAATGCATTTACTAACATGAACAATACATTTACTACTGTATTTGTTGGTGTTAGTTAACGTTAATGAGTTAATGAAAATACAGTTGTTCATTGTTAGTTCATGTTAACTCATGGTGCATTAACTAATGTTAACAGGCATGGACTTGGATGTTAATAATGCATTAGTAAATGTTCAATTATGATTGATAAATGCTGTACATGTGTTGTTCATGATTAGGTCATGTTAGTAAATGCATTAACTAATGAACCTTATTGTAAAGTGTTAACAAAAATCGGTATCGCCAGAATGGGGAAGTCCCAGAGTAAAATGAGAAAATATGATACACCGGTGTTTTGGAATATTGAAAAACTCTGTCTTTACACTGTTTTCATCTTTTTTTATATAATTTGTTTTTGTTTTATTTATACTTGGCTCTTTTATACAATGTTTCAATTCACTAAAATCTTCTATGTGTGGCTGCTTTGACACAATCTATATTGTAAAAGTGCTATACAGATAAAGATTAATATAATTGAATTATTCCTTTTTATGTAAAGCACTTTTAATTGTATGAAATGTGCTATATAAATAAATAAATAAATAAACAAAACTTGCCTTAATTGTGGGATATAGTCTTAGAATTGTCTGAAATAAAGTTAGAATTATAAAAACAAATTATTTGGAATTACAATGAAAGAACAGAAATTTTTATTTAATATTTGGAACATATATGAATGATTAAAAAATAATTATTAAAGAAAACAAAGAGGAAACTGCTGGACACCTGACAGGTTTCGCAACCACCTAATGGTTTACTAAACTGCAAATCAGCTCACAAAAAAAAAAAAAAAAAACATTCAGAACATTCTGCCAGCCGCATATTGGCTAGTTTTGCACAAACACCACTCTCTATTTCGTTAATAATGTAATAGTCTATTTTCTGCCATTTGACAGACCAACACGAGGCATTAAGCTGGACTCATGAATTAGACTAAATGGAGAGAGTGAGAAGCTAGTGAAAGGAGAGAGGAGCAGCCATCTGTTCCAGCTTGTGCAGCTCGGCGTGGAGTGAAGCACAGCAGGATGGTGTCCTCAAAACACACAGCGAACATTAGAAAAGCAAAAAGAGTCCAAAATGGGAAAACAAACCTTATCTGACCCATACTGTTGACATCCACAGAATCCGTCCATTCTGACAAGTGCTTAACATCAGTCCTCGGTCTACAATAAATCTATGGTTTCTTTCTTCTATCTGCCCTCCATTAATTTTCTCCTTGTTCCTCACTTGTTTAAAAATCTTGTTCTCTTTCATTAAAAACACTCTGAGATGCTTCAGATTTCCAAAGTGTCCCTGAGAGACAATACTTTGGTGAATTTGGTGTCTTTAGGTTGTGAAAAATTGAATATCTTTCATTAGTGGCCCTGAGTTAGACTTTTGTCTAACTTTACATTTTTTCCCTGTTTTTATGTGAACATGGATGTCACACAAGATATAGGCTCATTCTGAAAACGTAGCCCTAAATGCATTTCTGGAGATCACAAATTATGTAGCCAGATGTAGGTATGATGCCGTTGCCGTTTCTTTTCACGTGGGCTTTTCTGCTGTTGCCAGTTTGTCCATTGGCTCACCATGTACATTGACAGACCTGAGACTGGAGAAGAATAGTTCCAAAAAGTGTGCACAAAGACAAAAACAGAAGCCAAAAAATAATATAAACCAGTAAATAACAGGGTGAGCATGTGCTAAAATTTGAAAATGTTGTAAAAATCCGGCGAGGGCTTTTCTTTTCAGCGGCCTCTGGTGGATTAGCGAAAACAAAAATGGCAACAAAAAATAAATAAATAAAAGTAGCTCCTGGGACATATTTGACACTCTCTAGAAATGTATGGCACTACATTTTCAGAATGAGCCTAGGTTGATGTCACACTAGGTCAACCATTTATTAAATGACTCAGAAGTGGTAGATATGAATTGGCAGTTGTTCTTTCCAAAATGTTAGTGAACATCATTCTCTCATCCAAGATTTTGGACTGTGTTTTAATTACTACCTCATTCAAGTAATCTAATTCAAAATGCTTTTTGACAGATTGTTTTAATTTTTGTTTTGTTTTGTTTCTGTACTATACAGAAATGTGTTTTCACTGAGACTATTTCTTAAAATTTGGCGATGGGCTAAGGTATATTATGGACTATTAAGTTATAAATATAAGTATGTAGAAGTATGCGTTGCTTGCAAATTTTTTGTAATCAAATGTAAATTCGAATAGTCTGAATTTATGAATCAGAATATGTACAAATCAGTCACTTGTGAGGTTTCAGAAAATATATCATTTTAATATTTTTAATAAAGTAGATTGTTGGAGTAATTTGAGTATTTTTTTTTTAAATTAGCTACTGTTTCAGTTTAATTATTGTGTTAAATTATTATTTTAGTTGAAGTAGGGGTTGTTCATTTTGGTAATTTTCTTGAATGACAACTGACGCTTATTGATCAAATGATGAATAGATTGTTCAATTTAATCGCCCCCTCCACAATTTGCCAAACCCCCCATGCTTTTGGACATGCATCAATTGCTTTCATACAACTCTCTGCTGTTTATAACATTATCATTTTCTTATGTCATGTCAGTCAAAATGAACTAAACTTGTAAATGCTGAATAGTCATTCTATATAAAACGAACAATCTTCATTTCATTACTTGAGTCATTACACACAAAAATGTTGAACTAGTTGTCAAAATCTGTCAAGCTCATTTTTTAAAACAAATTTAAATCTTTATTTTCCTGAAAATGTCTTTAAAATTGAACAATTTAATGAATGATTTACAGACCTGTGTATGTTGTAGGCTCAGTTCCAATATGTACTGTAATATTGTGTACAGTGTGCACAGCTCTACCTAAAGGGAGTTTATGTTTGTTGTAAATAAGGGTGTGTTTATTCTTTTGCACAATGCTGTGAATAAATTAGGATTGCAAAGAGCAAATGCAGTAAAAATGTGAAACATACATATTCAGTGTCTTGTACTCAGATACCTCACTAAATGCAGTGATGTCTAACTTTACTGTAGTTTTCAAATGGCTGTGCTAACAGTATACAGTGCTGTCTTGAGCATTTTCAGGACGTGTCACCAAAATCTGACTGTTTTGCATTGAAAAAATGTAGAGAGTAAACTGTCATAATGAAAACATGACTAAGCCATTTGACTATCTTGTTCATAAACAATGGTGTCAGGACTTTTCATTTTGATGACACAGACACTTTGATTGACATGAATACTTGCTTTTGAGGAATAAACTATCCATTTTGAGCATGTGATGTGCTTTTGCAGGTTATCAGCTAGGTTTTGCAGTTTGTACTAATTGTTTTGGGAAAATATTAAATGTTGTGCAAAAATGCACTAGTGTTGTAAGAAATGCACCAAAGCGACTGAGAAAAACTGTAATGTGTGCAATGCAGACAGTATAGACTGCTTACAGGTTTTAGGGGGAAAAAGCGCATTGACATTAATTAAATATCCTTGATTGATATTGTAATATCAGAGTGGATTCAGTAACAATTTTCTCCCTTTTTTCTCTTGTAGCTGGAACAGAAGCAGGTGACGCCACCGTTCAAACCTCAAATCACAGATGACTACGGTTTAGAAAACTTTGACACACAGTTCACCAACGAACCCGTGCAGCTCACACCAGATGATGAGTAAGTATCCCAATATGTTATGATTGGCTGTGGGGCGTTTCATTTCTACAAACAATTAATAAAGATATATGAAAGAAGAATCAACTGTTTTCCAAAGACCTGCTAAATACTACTGGAGCAACTGGTGGAGATTTGAATTATGAAAAGACAAACTGGCATCTCCTTACATGCCGCAGAGTCTTCCAAATGTTTCACCGACAATTAAAGTCAGTCGTCACTTCTGCGGAATCCATCTTAAGAGAGTGATTATGTAATATTTTAACGACTTCAAAGTTGCTCGGCAGAAGATTTAGGCGTTTAATAACGGGGGTTTCCACTCAGCTTGATTCTGCTGGTCCAGGATGGTGAGGTTTATGTCTAAGATTCCCCTTCAGAAAGTGAGAGGGAGATGAAGTGAAATGGTTTACCCATCTGGAGGCTATCGTCAAGAGGTAATGATGTCATACGGAAACATCCCCTCTGGAGTTTCTGATTGCTTTACAGTATGAGGTGCGCCGTAAAAGGGCCACATTGAAAGTCAGGACAAAGAACAGCTCGAAAACAGCTAAAAACCTGATGCAGAGAGGCATTAAAAACCAGAGATGGGGCTGGAAACAGGCTTTAATCAGTGTGAAGTGAGTTTCTAGGGGGGCTTTTAAGCTTTATCGTCTTTTCTTCAGACGCTCATTCATACGCTCGGTCCTTTTGAATACCGCCGTGATTAAAACAAGGGCTAAAATAAGAGACTTGTCAAGGAAAAAAATGTTGATTGTAGATTGACTCATGGCATGTGTGAATACATGGGGGTCAGTTGTTGAGGTCTCGGCCAATTTCTCTCAAGAGATTCTTCAGACATTCCAGTCATTCTGCGTGAAGGACAATCGCGCCGGGCTTTGAGGCATATTGTTCTGCAGAGGTGTGTTTCTGTGGAGAGGGACTCGAGTCTGCACAATGACTTGTATATCTGGCTGAATTTGTTATTCTGATTTGATCCATAGAGACAGGCGGCCCTCGAGCTGCTAAAAAGGATTCCTGTTTTCAATCGACGGTAAATGGAGCTCCAAAAATGCAGCTCAGAAAGAGGGCGGCATCTTTGATGAACAACGTGATTTGGTACCATGACTGAAATTCATCCCATTATTGCCCAAATCTGAGGGATGTGGATTTAAAACATAAACTATTTACCAGGGTTACGCAAAGAGAATCAAAGAATTGGATCACTTTCAGCTCATGAGGGGGAATTTGATTCAATTTGGTCAAAACACGCAAGAAGCCGAAGCCTGTCTAGCTCTCTGTCTATATATCTATCTCTAGTGTCCTTTTTTAAAATCCATCTATCCATCTCTAGTGTCCTTTTTTAAAATCCATCTATCCATCTGTCTATCTCTGTTTAAATTTTATCTATCTATCTATCTATCTATCTATCTATCTATCTATCTATCTATCTATCTATCTATCTATCTATCTATCTATCTATCTATCTATCTATCTATCTATCTATCTATCCACTTATCATTCTATCCGTCCGTCCGTCCGTCCGTCCGTCCGTCTATCTATCTATCTATCTATCTATCTATCCATCCATCCATCCATCCATCCATCCATCCATCTCTGTCTGTCTTTCTGTCACTCGCTCTATTTATTTAAATCTGTCTACCTCTAAGTCTGTCTGTCACTCCCTCCATCCATCTCTGTCTGTCTGTCTATCCATCCATTAATTGTCTGTCTGTCACTCCCTCCATCCATCTTAATCTGTCTGCCTCTCAATCTGTCTGTCAGTCAGGCAGTCTGTCAGTCTGATCTATCCATCCATCTATTCATGTGTCTGTCCCTCATCTATCTATATCTCTATCAATCATTCTGTCTGTCTTTCTGTCCATCTCTGTATGTTCTGTGTTATCTATCTATCTATCTATCTATCTATCTATCTATCTATCTATCTATCTATCTATCTATCTATCTATCTATCTATCTATCTATCTATCTATCTATCTATCTATCTATCTATCTATCTATCTATCTATCTATTCATTAATCCGTCCGTCCGTCCTGTCTATCGATCCGTAAATCCATCTGTCTGTCACTCCATCTATCTAGATCTCTGTCAATATCTTTCTGTTTGTCTCCGTCCATCTCTGTCTGTCAGTCTGTCTATTTATCCAGCCATATATCCGTCTGTCTGTCACTTCCATCTGCCTCTTTTTGTCCATCCATCCATCCATCCATCCATCCATCCAACCATCCATCCATCTATCTATCTGTCTATCTATACCTCCATCCATCTATATCACTGTCTCTCACTCTCGGTCTATCTCTGTCTGGTTATCTCTCTCTCTCTCTCTCTCTGTATGTTTTTAAATCTATCTGTCTACCCATCCGTCCCTCCCTCCATTCATCTATTTCTCTGTCTGTCTGTCTCGATTTAAATTTCATTTTTGCATCCTGACTACTCCCTATGTGTAAATTAAAGAATCCAGCCATTCTCCGTTCACTTCCATATGCACTACAACCCTGATGCTTGTGAATGAGGTCATCTCATACCTTGAGGTGATTTCATTTCTTTGCTCTCCACAAGAAACCCTAGCAGCACCTCGCTGAACTATGCACACTAATCACAGAGTACACAATCACTGCAGTCTCCAAGCCGACCAAGGCAATTTGTCAGTGAAGCTGTCACTCATAATTAGCTGAAAGCAAGTTGCAGATGAACTGACAGACAGTAATCTATAGAGCCACGGCGGGTTCTTAGTTCAATACGAGATTTTCCAAGCGGGCTTCAAAGCAGCGCAGCAGCCAGACACTTCAAAAGCAGAGCGAGCTCTGGAAAAGCCTGACGTCCCACACGGTGGAGGAGACGAGGAGGGGCAGGAAGTGATGGAAGCCTTTTTTTGTTTGACGGATCTGGCAGACGAAAAAAGAGGGTGGGGGGTGAAATCCTTCCTTGTAAGAGATTTAGTCTCTCGGATTAAAAGAAAAAGTGCGTCCAGAGCGGGAAGTGTCTCAGAGCGCAACGGAAAAGGATGAACTCGAATCCAACGCGACTAGAGACACGATTCCCTTTTACATGCTCGTACAAACGGCTTAAAAAGAACCTGGATTCCCAGTGCATTGTTATGGAGTTTAGTTTACACAGAGTGTATCGCTGTTCAAAAGTTTGGGGTCAGGAAGATTACTTTCAGAACTTTTATCTTGTCACAAAAGATTTCTGTTTCCAATAAATGTTCTTTTGAACTTTATGGTAACACTTTACTTGAAGGGAGTGTTCATAAAACTGTCAAGACACCTTTATTGTCACGACGTGAATATGAAGGAGATTTTATGCATTCTCATGACAACTCTTATTGTGTCATTCACTCCATTGTGTCATTTGAAATGCAAAGATTACATTGTTTGAGATGTCATTGTTATGACAGCTTGAACCACACAAACATATCACAACCTGTTTTTGTTATGACAACTTGACATTACCAAGACATCATAAATTGTCATAAACCTGTCATAAATATGATTGTCATATGTCCATTATACTTGTGTTCATTAATTCATTCATTCATTCATTTTCTTTTCGGCTTAGTCCTTTTGTTAATCAGGGCTCGCCACAGCAGAATGAACCGCCAACGTATCCTGCATATGCTTTAAGCAGTGGAGGCCCTTCCAGCTGCAACACATCACTGAGAAACACCCAAACACTCTAGTTCACACACACACAGACAATTTAGCTTACCCAATTCACCTGTACCGCATGTCTTTGGGCTTGTGGGGGAAACAAGAACACCCAAGAGGAAACCCACGCAAACAAGGGGAGAACATGCAGACTCCACACAGAAATGCCAACTGACCCAGCCGAGGCTCGAACCAACGACTTTCTTACTGTAAGGCAACAGCGCTACTCACTGTGCCACAATATACACTGTGTGTATATTAATATTTAATGACATGTTAATGAAAAATTCAATTTGCACCAATGTGGTTGAGGTCAAAAATATATATAAGCTGTTACACGACAGTTATAATGGCCTCATGACAATTATGTTTATGACAGATTTATGACATGGTTATGTTGTCTTGGTAATGTCAAGTTCTCATAACAAAGACATCTCAAACAATGTCATCTTTACGTTTAAAGTAACTGAGTGAATCACACTTGACAGTTGTCATATGCATGCATAAAATCTCCTTCGTATTCATAACGTGTCATGTCATGATTATAAAGGTGTCATGACAGTCTTATGAGCACCCCTTCAAATGAAGTGTTACCCATTTTACAATTTTACAAAAAGAAAACATTTCTTAAATTACATAATTAAACATTTTTATGTATGTTGTCACTTTCTTATTGTCACTGCGTAAAGAGCGTGTAAAACAAACATTATGACCAGTGTTAGGGATAACGCATTACAAATACTTTTCTAAGTATTGAGTAATACGCATTACTTTAAAAATTAAGTCCTAATATTTGAGTTGTATTTGACTTTTTAGATTAATTAATTCGCTTTTAAAAAATAATTTGCTGAATGAAAATGAGTGTAATCGCATTGAATCACACTCAATGAGAGAATGAGCTGCCTGCGGGAACAGACAGAAACCAAGATGGCTGAGCCTTACATTTCAGTGATGGAAGTATTCTCACTATTTTGAACACAAGGAAGAAAAAGGGATAGTCTCAATGGACAGTGATTTTACTGAAATAATGAAAAAAATACATATAAAAGTAGCGAACACATTGCTTTCAACTTTCATTCATCTGTATATACGGCATGTATTGGCATGCCTGAGAACTTCAATTAGTTCTCAGAAGGTAACATTATTCACATTTTTAATAGTTTTTTTTTTTTTTGGGTAAATGAAGGTGTAGGTTACAGTGTGTCATTAAACACAGCCCTCCTCTATTTAAATAAATAAATAAATTAATTAATAAATAAGAAAAATACCCTGTAAGTTCTGAAAGAGATCAAGCCTCAGTAAGGGCTGAAAAAGTAAGTCAAAAGTAATAGTAATGCATTACTTTTAAAAGTAGCTTTCCCCAACACTGATTATCACAAATTTGTGTTTTTAGCGACCCAGGGCTAAACATAACAGAAAAACATCTCTTTTTGCTGCAATTGCAATTGCAAAAAAAAAAAAAAAAAAAAAAAAACACCTGATATTGTAGAAGCAATTACAAAATAATCAAATAAAGCAGATTTCATTCCTTTTGGAACTTGAATGAGTTCAGTTTAAGCAGATGATTTTGCCATCTCTGTCATCAGAGCACATTTCCCCAGTACAGTCAGCTTCTGACTCGCTCATTTTCACAATTTAATCAGTATACTCAGAACTATTGTTACTAATTTCTTCAGTCAGTCAGTATTTTAATCAAAGACAGCTAACTCACCATCAAGTGAATCAGTCACACTTATTTGATTTGCATTTTCTTTTCGGCTTAGTCCCTTTATTAATCAAAGGTCCTCACAGCGGAATGAACCGCAAACTTATACAGCATATGTTTTATGCATTGGATGCCCTTAAAGCTGCAACCAAAACATCCATACACTCTTGCATTGACACACATACACTAAGGCAAATTTAGCTTATTCAATTCACCTATAGCATGCGAATACAGGGAGAACATGCAAACTCCACAAAGAAATGCCAACTGAGCCAGACGGAGCTCGAACCATTGACCTTCTTTCAGACATTAAAGAAATTAATGTCTTCTATAACAGTGGTTCTCAAAGTGGGGGTCGGGACCCCCCGAGGGGTCGCGGGACAATGAAGGGGGGGTCGCCTGGTGATTTCCGAAAATCTATTTATTTTTCATAAACCATAAGAATTACCATATTTTATTCATAACCTACTAAAAGAGAAAAATATAGTTGTTTATAGTTACTATGTACTACTGTATATAGTTACTTTAGTAGCTTTTAGTTACTATTTCTATTGGATTGCACCCCTAGGGGTAATTACTTTACATTAAAGACACAGCAATAGCGTCAGATGCAGCAGATTGATTTTATAACACCAGGTTAAACTTTCTAGCCTATTTACAGCACTGACAGACATTACAAAAAATTAAACTAAGAATTGTTTATTAGTGGTTTATTGGTGTGCGCCATTGCATGCAAGATTTTTGGATTTATAACCACCTCAGAAGATATTGGGGGTCGCGAGTCACTGACATTGTTATTTTGGGGGTCGTGGGCAAAAAAGTTTGGGAATCCCTGTTCTATAAGACATTACCCTCTGAGGAATGAAGGTGTCATCAGATTTTTTATTATTGTTGCCCAGGATAAATGTACTTACATTATTTATTACACACCTCGGGTCACTAGTGACTCTATACACTTTTCACACAGACAATATTTAATAGCTGTTTCTAGCTTATGATTGCTTGTAATGAATAATTGGAGGAATACTTTAAAGTCTGATGTGTAACTTAAAAAAAATAAATTAGGGGGAGGGTGGCGTTACATGCCTGGTCACTTTTTAGAATAAAGAAAATCAGCAATGCAGGTTTTAAATGAACAGCTTTCTGTATTTTTTATTTAAAACTATTTGAAAATGTACCACTTGAGAAAACAGAACCAGAGCTTTGCTGTTTTCTCATTCCAAAACAGCTCCACCTCGTAATTCTTTTCTGAAGAAACATTGGTGTAGTAAAGAGGCTTGTTTGTTTTGGTCAGTGCCCAGAACGTCCGTCTTTCTGTGTTTCTTCATCTCGTATTTCCCCCCTGCACAGCCTTTGAAACCTGAGCTTGATATTACGGCATAAAGGTGTCGCTGGTGTTATTTTAGATTTCCCTCTTGCTGGAGGCTTTTGGACCCCACACACACCCACATAGAGTCAAGTGGCCCTCCGGGGACTTTCTTCAAACAGACACAGCACAAACACAATTGGGCACTGATCCCGGATCTGGTGAAATATCAGTTCTCGCACAGCCTGTTGGAGAGAATTGTCCTCCACGGACCGTGTTTGACAGAATGTGATAAACGAGTTTTGAATGGTCTCAGCATTACGCCACTGAAGAGGTGGAGCATATATCCTCAACATGCAGGAGATCAATGGATTCCTGAGGTTATATATATATATATATATATATACACACACACACACACACACACGCAATATATATATATATATATATATATATATATATATATATATATATATATATATATATATATATATATATATATTATTTTATTGTTTTTTTCTGGGCAAGGCAGTGGCGCAGTAGGTAGTGCTGTCACCTCACAGAAAGAAGGTCGCTGGTTCGAACCTTGGCTCAGTTGGCGTTTCTGTGTGGAGTTTGCATGTTCTTCCTGCCTTCGTGTGCGTTTCCTCCGGGTGCTCCGGTTTCCCCAACAGTCCAAAGACATGCGGTACAGGTGAATTGGGTAAGCTAAATTGTCCGTAGTGTATGAGTGTGTGTGTGTGTGTGTGTGTGTGTGTGGATGTTTCCCAGAGATGGGTTGCGGCTGGAAGGGCATCCGCTGCGTAAAAACTTGCTGGATAAGCTGGCGGTTCATTCCGCTGTGGCGACATCGAATTAATTAAAGGGACTAAGCCAACAAGAAAATTAATGATTGAATGCATATTTTTTTTCTTTTTTAAATATTACCCAAATGATGTTTAACAGAGCAAGGACATTTTCACAGTATGTTTGATAATATTTTTTTTCTTCTGGAGAAAGTCTTATTTAGACTAGAATAAAAGCAGTTTTAAATTTATTTTAAGGTCAAATTATTAGCTTTTTTAATCATTGTTTTTCGAAAGTCAGAAACATACAGATATACAGAACAAAACATCATTATACAATAACTTGCCTAATTACCCTAACCTGCCTAGTTAACCTAATTAACCTAGTTAAGCCTTTAAATGTCACTTTAAGCTGTATAGAAGTGTGTTGAAAGATATCTAGTCAAATATTATTTACTGTCATCATGACAGAGAGAAAATAAATCAGTTATTAGAAATTAGTTATTAAAACTATTATGTGCAGAAATGTGTTGAAAAAAAAATCTTCTCTTCGTTAAACAGAAATTGGGGAAAAAATAAACAAGGGCACTAATAATTCAGGGGGGCTAATAATAATTATGACTTCAACTGTATATAGATATATATTACTATTATAGTACAAATCATACATGTTTGAAGTTGTAAATTTAATCATTTTATTTGTTGGGAATTTTCTCAAGTTGGCCCATTACTGAATAATCAAAATCTCAGCTGATTTTAATCAAACCACAAATATAAGGTCACATTGATCACATATTCAAGAGATTCATCTCAAACAAAAACAAATAGTAATTAAAATATAATAACAAACATAAATAATCATATTGCAATTGCATCCAAATAACAGATATTGGAAAAAAAATGCTTTTCTTTTTCTTTTTTTTTCTCAAGTTCAACCAATTATAGACCAAAAAGAAATGTTGGGAATCACCACTGCATTAAATCACGCTGGCAATAAATTAAGCTTATATTCAAGAAACTCTTTGCCTCCAGGGGGTGAATACCTTTGCAATATTCTTCGTGTTATTCACTTTTTATTAAAGTGTCTGCTAATTAATGAATGTATATGTAAAAATGAGATGCGGGCAAAGTTCTCTCTGCAATTCTTGTTATTGCTTATACGTAGTCGCCTACATATTTTTTCCAGAAAAATTCACTTTGGCTGGTAAATACCTCTTATTTGGTACTTGTTGATGATGTAATAAGTCAGCGTGGCTTTGGGGATCCACCTCATTTGCACTATTAGCCTTATTTCTCCACCTTATTCACCATTTTCCAGCGTTTGTTTTGAGCCACAGTGCAAAATGTACAGTTGAATCGTAGCTCCTAAATGAATAATGTTGTTTTCTCTCCTCAGGGATGTGATAAAGAGAATAGACCAGTCTGAGTTTGAGGGATTCGAGTACATTAATCCTCTGCTGCTCTCCACTGAAGAAACCGTATGAGGGAAGAACACTGCGGCCTGTATTTCTCTGCCTGCGGCTCTACAAAACTACTACAGCTGAGTTTAGCTCAGACTATGTGTGTTCACATAGAAGTTTTCTAAAAACCGTGGTAAAAGGCGACACTAAGACTTCAAGTGCGGACCCTCCCCCGAGTTATTTTGGGGTTACACTGGAAGAAGAAAGGACTAGAGGAACTTCAGAACTATTCCCCAAATTTCAGCTGTTGATTGTCTTCCTGCTTCCCAGCATCCTCTTTCATTTAAGGCCCATGTTTGTGTGTGTGCGCGCACTGTTGCCTGGGACTCAATTTTAGCTCCATCGATGTGTGCCTGCATCCACCAGAGACTACATTTCCCATCAACCCTAGCAAAATATGACAGTTCTAACTTAATGTGCACTTTTTGTTTTGTTGGATTTTTCTTATTTTGGGGAATCTCTTTAATCTTGTGAGGCGTGTCCTCAAGCAAAACAAGAATGTATAATGTTTAAAGGTAAATGTTGTATTATAGTGTAGGTAGCCAATCGAAGAATTTATGATGCCTTCTATGATGCAAAGTGGCACATTTTAATTGACGACCATGATGGTTTCATCCGCAGTGGGTAGCTGTGCTGGAACCACATGCTTTTAACCACCCATGTCGATTTTAAACGGGAGATAAAATGTGTTGTTTTGAAGAAGTGCCTCAAAGATCTAGAATTCACCATGCTCCCAACTGCTCTGAACTCCACGTTAGACCGGAGTTGACTTTCCAACGCAACATTCAGTGAGAATGTGGACTGCAGGTGTTTGTTTGTTTGTTTTTTTTCTTAGTTTTTTTTTTTTTTTTACATAACATAAAAGCACTGATACATATTTTGAAACCAAGACATGATGGACAGCACCGAATGATCAAAAAGCTCAAGTACATCAGACATCCAATAATATTACTAAACTAGACTCATTGGAGAAACATTTAGTGGTAGTACACTAACAGCTGTAACTGCGTTTCACACAAATGAATATTACCATAACACAGCTGCTCCATAAAGTATGTACAGCTATTCCGGTGTAGTAAACCTGCTCAGAAGCTCATCTGGTACAACAAAGTGAGTGCTGAGTCAGAAACTTGTAGAAGCTATTTAAAAGTTTGAGTGTCGGTACTACATTGTTCAAACGCAACTGAGCACTTTTGGATTGACTCACAAGATGATTCATTTCTAAACTAGAGTGAAGTGTATCACAACTAACGTAATCAATCAGTTCATATATCTCAGATAAAACTGATTACACATTTAGCACATGTTTACACCTGGTATTAAGATGTGTTTTCATCTAATCATTCATAAGTGGCCAACATTAAATGCCGGTCTAAAGCATAACAAGGTTTAAAAGTCATCAACTTCGGCCCACTTCTAGAGGTCAGGATTCTTTCAGAGTGTAAACACTCATGTGTTTGAATGCTTTCAAACTGCCATGAAAGACCAAATACTATTATTACGACCATATACAGCCTTCTAACCTAAAACCCTGGACTCATCAAGCCAAAATCAAAGAATTGGAGGTTGTTGGCTTGGATTGGCTTTGTCTGGTCCCATCAGGACCAAAACAACTGCTCGTGAACGCACCACATGGACAACAGCTGACCGAAATGAGAATGTTCTTTCTGCGCCTGCACCAGATGACGTATCTTTCCATACCTCCAGGTGTCAGTACCTGTATTGTCATTCCCCAAAAGGAAACTGGAACTAGTGCTGCACACATACAAGCTGCAAGCAAAGCAGTGTTCACGGACTTCTCGCTTACCACAGTGGGTTTCGCTCGAGCAAATATGTCTGATAGTCTATATTATTTGCAAATATTTAGGAAATGCAGTGAAAATATACGCGGCTTCTTCTTCTTTCTTTCTTCACTTTAGATTTGTTCTCGTGCTCTAATTCATATCTAAATGAGAGCCAATCAGAGCTCTTTCACCGAGCAGCCGACACAGATTCTACATAGTAAATCGGGCAAACTCGCTACGACTTGAGCCTGATGTAGGACGACGTGTAGGACACACTGAACAAACTCTGACAGATGCTGACCAATGGAGTTACGCTGCACAATGACCAACAGTCTGCTTGCTGTGTTGAACAAAATGTAATGTTTGAAGAAAGAGGAGACCAGCAAAGACAAACACTCACACCACACCGGTCTCGCTCCACTCTCTTGGCTCTCTGCCTCATTCTACACATCATCTCATATTCCCCTACTGCTCCATTGCAGGCCAGAGACACCCTCCCAATTCCAACCACAGATTTGGATGTCCAGCAGTGAGGGATGATTGCCTTGATCTCCCTGCTCAGCCCTATCATGTTAAATTCACCAAAAAGCCCCCTTAGTCCTCATCTGCTACTTCATGACTTGACAGACGACAGAGAGTGGATTCATCCCTCCTGGCATTACCCACCAGCTCTATTGACAGCGTGTTCCTCCTTCCTACTGGGTTTCGGCACCAATGTAACCGTTCAAACAAGTCAACAACAAAATGACCTGCCGCATAAAAACAAAACACAAGCATAAATGTTCCAACCTTGGTCTTCTCGTTCTTCACTATTGTCACTTCTCTCCATTCCAGAGCTTCTCTGTGGGACTCACAAACACCACAAGCCTCAAACTTCATGGCTTAGACTTGCTTCCATAAAACCAGTGAGAAAATAAGAGGGAAAGGTCCTAGTAATGGTCTCTGCTGACCACCTGCGATTAGATCACTGAAAACGCAACGCTAATGCCAGGTGGAAACTGGTACGCAATGTATTATTGCATAAACGCCACCACAAGCATGTTTTTCCAATGATCCTGGGGCTAATATAACAGTCAAATTTATTACAGAACACACACACTAAACTGTTCAAATGTCTTGTGCTCACTTTGACAAGTGGGATTTGTGTTATGCTCATGTGATCTGTCAGTGATTAGCTGTTGAGATGTTGTAGAAGGCGAGAAAGCACAAACAAGGGGTTTGGACATCTTGTTGCTAGTGTTATGTCATGGTCAAATTGTGCAACAGTGTTGTGACTGAATCTCAGATGACCAAAACACATGGCGGAGTTGTGTCTTTGCGCTCGCAATCAAAAGCTTAAATTTAATGTAATGCAGCACTTGCGAAAACGTAGTTAGCACAGAATGCTAATCTTATTTTATTTGAAAACACAAGCTGTGTTCAGAATGTGCTGTTAGTTTGCTGTTATTTAATTAACAGTAAAAGAGATGATGAGATGATTCATACTTCAAAAACTGCGTAAAATGCAGCTTCTGGTCACAGTTTGACAGAAAAATTAGCCTTAACATTATGGAAGGTTATCGGGGCCAAAAGTCTTCAAAACAACTTATTAGCACACACAGCTTGAGTGTGTCAGGGCAAGGGTTCTCAAGCCTTTTTTAACAAAGTACCACCTCAGAAAATGTTTTTCTCTACAAGTACCACCATGATAACTTTAACTTTCTACTTTCTACAGTACAGTAGCTTAGTAGGCCAAATTAAGCAGCTACAGCTCTGCGCAGTTCAAAAACGTGGCAGATTTATTCTTATTAAGAATATTTATTATTGTCAGACACTTTAATCATTATAATTAGTTTGAACATTAACACTGCACTGTGCTTACAGGTAAAAAAATAAAGAAAGAAAACATCAACGTTTAAATTAAAATGTGCTTTTAAAAGTGAATTAAAAATAACACTGTTCTTGAAAAGTAAAAAGAAATCTGCTGTACTTACATGTAAAGTATTATCATAGAGTAGCCTATTCATCAAAACCTGGAAATGTTCTTTGGACATCATGAATACAGGCTATACGTCATCATATTCATGTATTAACTATGTCTGATATTTTTTTAAATACACAAATAAGTCAAATACACATGCAACATATATCTTTGAAATCTAAACATTAACTGTTATTTTAAATATATGAATTGGATTTACATACTTAAATCAGAAATTAGATCTGCTTACTGCGCGTTAGAAAAGTGATTAATCCATACCTGTTAACATTGGGATATAAAAATACGGGATACGCCCTCAACAAATTAGCTTCAAATGATAGAATACATAACAAACATTAGAAATTAAAAATAAAATAAAAGGTTTAGCTTATTAAAATTAATTTACTGATCACAACGGTGTTATCTTATGTGGCAAAGGGTTAAAGTTGTGTTCATTTTGTTGCATATTTTTTTAATTATTCAGCATTTCCTCCATGTATCACTAAAAGGAAGCCACAGTTTGAGAACCACTGTGTTAGGGCATTCGCTTTGTGTCGTATTTATGTCACAATCCATAAAAACTGTTTTAACAGTCAAAGTGTGTGTGTTTATGTGTGCTAAAAAACAGTTTGTTTGTTGAAACAGTTACTTTTATGGATTGTGACATAAATATGATGTTTAACATGGAAGTACAAACATTGTGTACTTGCATGGGTCATATATGCAAACAAGAAACACAGCAATTTCATAGGCTGTTGTGTTTGTTGATGTATTGATATGCTTAAAATAAGCATGTTGATGCAATCGACTTTAATGTGTTCTATACACTTTTGGCCCCAATGGCCTTCCATACAAAAAAAAAACAGAATGGAAACGGAATGACCAGTTGTGGTCATTGCATTCTGGGATACATTATTCTGTGCTGTGTGTCTTGGCAAATGCAGTAGGTCATCAGTGCACAGTATGCATACTGCAGAGAGTAGCGAGTTAGCATGCTATTCTGAACCTAGCCGTACACACTTTCCCGCTGGGGAAACACAGCTAAAGCATCGTTTCCTTTTAAAATTCCAGCCCACAAAAGAAAAGCTCTTTAAATTGAACTTCTAAACCCTCAGTTTCCCTTCAAAGAAATGAAAACAGCCAATCAAAGTCTAGCCTGACTGATTAATCCCTCACAGCGATAAGGCATTGTGTTATTAAGCAAACTAGATATGTTTTCAATCTTGCGCCACATTTAATCTCCAACTTTTGGGCTGTTTTAGTTCCTCTTTTCCTGGAGAGTGAAGACGACTGTCTTAGATGTGAATGCTTTGATGAAATCAGACCTGTATGAAGAATCGCTGCCATGTTAACAGGATTAATTAGCCACTTTTGTGTCAGACAGTAGCGAGATTAGCAGACGGGCTAGGAACAAAGAACGGGCTGGGAGATAACAAGCGTGACGAACGTAACGATAACGAGGCAGAGAGCAAAGCCAGATTACCCTGCTGTGTTTGCAGCTCTCTAATGAAAAACTGCTACAAAAACATTTCCATCAACTCCACTATTTATGAATGATATATGGGATGTTATTCAGGTGACTGCCAAGATAAAAAACATTCAAGCAGTCTAAATAGAGCGAATGCTCTACTATTATTGTAGGCTCTAGAAGAACAGGTACTACGGCAAATGACAAAGGACCAAGTAAAAGCAACATTCATCCGACCAACAGCTTCATTTTCCAGCAGCTTGAGCTAATGTACAGAATCCACATGAAAAGATGTCCGATTTCTGTTTCTTTCTGAACTGGAATGAGTTTTGGCATACCTGTAAATATCTGTAATTTAAACCGTACAAATTTTCACAAAAATAAATTTGTTTCTGCACCATTATAAGAGATCTCCATCCAGTGTCCCACTAAGCGCTAGTCTCAAACTTTAGAGCCCAAGACTGCAATAAAAAAAACACACACTTACCTGTCCCTGAATACATTTTTAGCAAGAAATTTCCATTATTTATTAACTTGCCAAAAGCTGTCGCAAGATGTTTTCTGCTTTTCTTTGATTTTTTTTTTGTCAGTTCTTTCCTCATGTTGAGTCCAAAGCAAACGACGCTCTTATCAATGTGCTACAGGGGAATACTTTTATATTTGAAGTGTTTGTTTTATAAATTATTGTAAATGAAAGCTCTAGTAGAGTTTCTGTGGGCTGAGGGTGGGAGAGAAGGAGAGAGATGTGAACATGTCTTTGGTTTTATGAAGTTAAGTCTTAAGCATCTTAGATAACAACTGTAAATCAGTAAATGTTCATTGTAATGACTTGACATTTTCTGTCTCGTGATTTCTGAGTGTAAAAACCCCCGAAAATCAAAACAGTAGTCTGTGAGAGAGCATGTTATTTATTGCATAATGCACGCTTTTCCATCAAATAAGAAATGCGGAAACACTTTACAATAACAATACTACATGAATAATGATGTGTTCATATGTAAACTAAACATGAACTCATCACTAGTTCAGAATAAAGTAATGCGTGCGCTAATCATGAACTAACTTTAAGTCACAAGAGTTCATTTGTAAATAACAACTACTCTAATTACTTGTTAGTACATGATTGTTTGTTAATTAATCAGAGCTTATGCTTAATTTAATTATAATGAACTCATGTTAATGTAAAATTATATCATGACTTTACTTGGAGGGGCACATTGTCAAGAACCCATTCTTAACTACTTATGAATTCCTTATGCACATTTGTCTAGTGTTTACACTGAATACTATAGTAAAGTGTTCTGTCAACATCAACAGTTTAAACACAGGAGTTGTTGAGTAATTAAGGAAGAGTTAATGATAATGTGCCCCTCCAAGTAAAGTCATGACATAATCATACATTAACAGCTCATGAGTTTAAGCTCATTTAGTTTAAGCTCATTTAGCTCATGAGTTTAAGCTCATTTAGCTTAAATGTTAATTAATACAGTAATTTACAACATGTACTAACAAGAAATTAAGATGGTAACACTTAAGTTTAGGTCATAACTCATGCTATAAACTACTGGCTTATTACTTGCCTATTATTAAGATATGAGCTGTTCATTAGTAGCTATAAAGTATTATCTTATCCTGCATCCCTTATAAAACCTACAGCCAACTTCTACCTTACTAACTAATAACAAACAGCTAATTAGTAGATTATTAAGCTAGTAGTGTTACGTAATGGTTAGTTAATACTGTGAATTTAACCTAAAGTGTTACCATAAAGGTAACTATTATTCACACATGAACTCACGTGAGTCAAGTTGTAGTTAAAGTTAGTTCATGATTAGCGCATACATTAACTCATCATTAATTCATAATAAAGTCATGTTTAGTTTACATATTAATCATTATTCATGTATGGTTATTGTAAAGTGTTACTAGAAATGCTTACATACACTGCACATGCAATGTAAAAATCCAAAATAATATAACAGTAATTCCTAATAATAATCACCAAATAATATCATCGTGCATTTCTGATAGGCATTGCGCAAGATGTCCATCACATTCCATCTGGGTGAACCTGAAAAACAGAACACATGCAAACTTTAATAATACTAACACACAAAACTGCAAAGCTCTAATAGAAAAGCACTAAAGAGAAAACAGGATCGTTTGCGGTTTGCAAAACAACACAAGCGAGGCTGTTTCTCTCTTGCACAACCGCCACTTCTGGAAACAAAAGAAGATTTTTGAGTCATGATAAGTTATTGATCCCTCTATGTCTTTCAGAACTCTATTTGGGAATAATGCATGTTGATGTAAGTCTTGGACTGTAGAGAAAAGCTGTTTACAATGTAGCCGATCCCCTGATATCACTCTAAAAGCATTTATCTGGAAATACTTCAATAATTCATGACTCTCTTATATCAGATTTTCTCGTGGTATCCAACAATTCTTAACAAGCATTTGCTGAACACATTTTAGTCAGAATTCATGCACTTTTTAAAACTTATTTTGGGAACACAATGTATTAAAATTAATGCAAGTTAACTTTAAATCTGCAACCCGTTTGTTATGGTATTTATTCATCTTAAAGGGATAGTTCACTTTTTGAATTCAATTCTTTATTTCTATAGCGCTTTTGCAATGTAGATTGTGTCAAAGCAGCTTAACATAGAAGTTCTAGTAAATTGAAAGTGTCAGTCCAGTTTTTAGAGTTGAAGTTCAATTTAGTTCAGTTCAGTGTGGTTTAAATTTCACTGAAGAGCAAATCCATCGATGGGCAGCACCTCGAACTGAAAGATTTCCTCAACTTTAATTAAATACTCAAGTGGATGTAAACTTTCACTTTTTTTTTCATCTGTTGAAAACAAAAGAAGATATTCTGAAGAATGTTGGAAAAATACAGCCACTGGCATCCATGGTAAAAGCAAAAATATTAGGTAAGTCCAACATTCTTCAAAATATCTCCTTTTGTGTGAAACAGAAGAAAGAAACTCTGACAGGCTTGGAACAAGTAGAGGATATGTAAACGATGAATGAGGGAACTATGCCTTTATGTACAATGGTCTGTTCCTTGTCAGTTCGTAAGATAATCGGTTGTCTGCTTGACTTCTCGTCGATTAATCAGTAGGGTTTGATCGATTATGTAATACTTAACAAGTGAAAAAAATCAACTCTGCCTTAGAAGTTGTTTCTAACTCATTTTGTGGCAACTGATTCTCCTCCCTGCGTTCACGTGGGTTTCCAGGTGCTCCGGTTTGCCCCACAAGTCCAACGACATGCGGTACAGGTGAATTGGGTAAGATAAAATTGTTGGTAGTGTATGTGTGTGAATTAAAGTGTATGGGTGTTTCCCACTGATGGGTTGCAGCCTGAAGGGCATCGCTGTGTAAAACATATGAATACGTTTGTGGTTTATTCTGCTGTGGCGACCCCAGATTAATAAAGGGACTAAGCTGAAAAGAAAATGAATGAATGAATGTTCTCCTTTAGATCGATCTCCTGTCTTCAATATCCTCCTGATCCTGCTTGTTGTACTGTGCAGAGGACATCCTGGGCTTTCTAGTGATATGTCATTTGATTGGCTGGCATGCTAGGAACCACTTCATACATTGCATACAAAATGGCCGACATACAAACGAGCACAAGGAGAGAGGTATGTAGAATTTTGCTAATTTTTAAAATGTTTTTTTACTATTATTATTATTACATATATATTTGTTTATTAAAGTGTCAGGAACAATACATTTCACTTTCAAAGCTGTTAAATTGTGTGTTTCAAAATATCATCCTTTTTTAAATGTCAACTATAGTGGACACCAGGACCATCACAATGTAATTAAAAAAATACAAAAGACTGCATGTTGTAGGAGGCAGAGGATTCTTTATAAGATAGCTGAGGGAGACTCTGACTTAGAGTCTCACAATCAGAGAATTTGAGAATTAGAGACAATTAGAGAACGACAACCAGTTTTAAATCGTTTTTATGTTGAGTTTGTTTTGGATTAACATCACTTCTATTTTTTTTTTTTTTGAATTCGGCTCTCGTTCAGACTAAACTGTTCCAGGAATTTCAATACAAGCGAAAAAAAAAAGGCTTTTGTTTTGTTTTTGTTACATTAATGTTGGAGTAATATCCCTTTACAGCCATATCCTGTACAGTTTTGTCATCTGAGTTTGGCTGTTGTTTCTAACTAAAATGGTCCTGTGGTCCACTACAGTGGCCATGCTGTAAAATTAAAAATAAAAACAAAACATAAAAACTCTAAAGTGTAGTTTTTTTAACCCAAAGGATGATTGAAAAAAAAAATTTGTTTTTTTGTGGGGGGGTATGTGTTTTTGGGTCAATGTTTTAGTTTTAATGGGCACTAAGAATTCTAGAATTCCATTTCTATTCATAAGCTTTATGGATTCAATTCCATTCGCATATCTGATTTGCATATCAGAAACGATATCTGCTTTCTTTTAGGAAACCAAAGCTTTGAACTATACTGTTTTTATAATAATAATTTTAATAAATAATATATTGTAGATTTATAAAATATGTGAATATAGTGCATATGTTTGAGTTTCTTTTTCTAGTTAAATATAAATGAATAGCTTTCCTGTGATAAATGGAATATTGTGTGATGTTACTGTTTACTATACAGCTCTCTGGAATACTTCATTCTGATTGGTCAATCACAACATTCCAAGGTATGACAAATGATCAAGCTAATAGCGGAAAACAGGGTACTACGTTTTCCGCTATTCGAATCATCTTGAGCATCAGTGAATACATTCTTGTATTCCTATTCATTCAGATTAGGTGTCTAACTGTTTAGTTTTGTGGCAAGTATTGGATAATGTACATTTAGGCGGTTGTTTTCGCAGAATAAAGCCCTGATCAGCCATTCCTTTCCTATTCTGCAAGAACAACTTCCTAGACAAAAATAACCCTTTACTTGTTAGCTGTTTTATTCACGGGTTCCTTCTTCTGAGGCTCATTCATGTTTATTTTGTGCTGTAAGTTACTTATAGGAAGGAGGAAGAGATGACTGATTCAGGTGTGTTGAGCTAAGGTAATTCAGCAATCTGTTATGGCACATTACAGAAACACTTCAATATTTTTGGAACATTAGAAGTCCCTTAAAGTAAAACAGTTGACCTTTACTATTTTTGAATCCATACAGCCGATCTCTGGGTCTGGGGGAAGCACTTTTAGCTTAGTTTAGCATGGATAATTGAATTAGGCAATAATCAAAAGACTTTGATATTATGTAGCTCTTGAAAACAGTCCCTGGCTAGGAAAGTAGGTAACAGCGCTGCATAATATCATTGTGTCTGCTGCAGCCATGGTATAGCAGCAAAGTTCTTTGACACAGGAATAGTTGGTATTGGTCAATTACCAAGAAAATAGAACATTTTCCTTTTTTGTCAGCCTTTTTTTGAAGTGAGATGATAATGGTCCAATCCGATCCATTGATTTAAGCTAAAAGTGCTCCCACCAGACCCGGAGATCAGTTGAATGAATTCAAAAATCATGAAGCTCAACAATTTAACTTTAGGGTAGTTGAGTCTATTGTTGAGTAAATGAGCCTATTTCCAAAAAAAGTCACATTTATACTTGAATTTAATGGTAAAAGTGACTGCTTAAAATGTGCTATTTTACAAGTCACTAATATGTGTGTACAAATGTTAACCGCAACACACTCGTTTTGTCATTTTATACCTATTGACAAGAAAATGGCAACTTTTGGTTTTCTGTCAGTCTTGGTACACAATGTAACTGTAGGATAATCAAACTTTAAATAATAAAATTATCAAAATGCTTTTTTGATTTAAGCGAGATGCTAATGGTGCAATCCAATTCAATTATTTATGCTAACCTAAGCTAAAAGTTCTTCCGTCAAACCTGGAGATCAGCTGAATGGATTCAAAAATCATAAAGGGTAGTTGTAAAATGAGCCTATTTCCAAAAAAAGTGGAGTGATTCTTTTAAAGTCACATTTATATTTGAAACTAGTGGTAAAAGTAACAACTTAAATTTTACTGCTTTACAATTCACTGATATGTGTGCACAAATATTACCAGAGAACACTAGTTTCATCATTTTATACCCATTGACAAAAACAAAAAAAACTCTAAGGTCATCGGGTGTCTCAATTTAGATTTTCCCAATTGAACATTACCAGTAAACATTTCAAAACAGCAAATCCTTCCTCCCCCAAAATGACATTCATTTCCACTGGCATTCGTGTGTTTGTATTTCCTATCCTCTCTAATCCCTTTTCCAACCCAGACAGCCTGATGTTTCCCAGCAGCAAACCTCAAACCCAATCCACCCATTCCCCTGATTCCCTCCATCTAGATTTCCATCTCTTCTCCACCAGTCCCGCTTTCAATACGTGCCTCATTCTCTATCTCTCCTTCCCTTGACAAGAGCGCTCATTGTGTCTCTCTGACGGGGCTCCTTGTGTTCTTCAGACTGGCCAATGTACACACGGCGGGCAGAAAGCGGGCAGCGGCGCGCGCCAGTCCTGCGTTCGCAACAAAGTGCTGCCTTGTTCAAACTTCCCACAGCGCCCAAGGAGAACTGATCTCAAACCTCGCAAAAAATCTGGTGACTTTCTGACCCGACTTTCTGATGAATAACTGTCTTTCTGTGGGGTTTCTCTTCCTGCTCTCTTTAGGTACACTCACAGTCTGCTGTGTTTCAACATTGAGTTTCCTCTTTCAGAGAATTGCGCCAAAGTTCGTGGGTAGAGAAGATCATGAACCACTTTTATTGAAGAGCTGGCCTTCGTTAAAGATGAATGTTTATCAATATGCAGTTCTGATGATTTTTTAATTCAACACCAAAATTTAAGGTTAAAAAGAAAAGTAGGTAGCAATTTACAAACAAGTTTAGTTCATTTACGAGTTAATGAGTATTATAAAGTTAACATTTGAAGTTTTAGAGATTACTGGTAAACTTTACAAGAAGATCAAATGAGTAATAATAGAGGTGTGACAAGATCTCGTATGACGAGATTAAATCGCGACGAAATGTCTCGTCGAGGCGAAAAGTGGTCTCATGAGTTGTGATGTTATGAAGCA